GTCCAAATATGGACGTGACTGTCCAAATATGGGCGTGACTGTCCAAATATGGACGTGACTGTCCAAATATGGACGTGACTGTCCAAATATGGATGTGACCGTCCAAATATGGAAATAACTGCAGTTAATCCACTGCCAACAAACTATGCATGGACTTGACATCATATCACGTGACCAGGGAGCGTTATGTCAAATTTATTTATACTCGCTACTCTCAAAGCTTTTTCAGCAAATATCATTGATGAGCAAATAACAGTCACAATGAGCAAATACGTCATCTGTATGGAACGAACTTGACTGTACAGAATTATTAGCAATATCCTCAATCTTCAATTGATTCTTTATGACTCATTATAAACAATGTTGTTGTTATGAGTTACTTAGTGAGCCACACTTGAATACATAGCAGCAACAAAATGTTTTAGCCATATGTAACAAAATGTTTTAGCCATATGTAACAAAATGTTTTAGCCATATGTAACAAAATGTTTTAGCCATATGTAACAAAATGTTTTAGCCATATGTAACAAAATGTTTTAGCCATATGTGTCCTTTCTTATTTCTTTCCTTTTCTTTGCTTCTGGGAAAGGACTTCGGACTCATGTTAAAACCAGGTATCTGTTATGCATCATTTATTATTCATAAGTTCGAGTCTCTTGTGAAATATTTGTATTTTCTATGATATAAAAATGGCGGCGAGAATAAGTTGCGTATAACCTCAGTCCTCTGTCATTTTGTATTTGTCCGTTCATTTGTATTAATTGATGTTTCTGTGAATAGAAAAAACAGGAGGGAGCCAGAATTGCCTTGTATGGAAAAACTGTTGACATTTTCACTGCTGAAATCACGTGGCAACACGTCGCTATTCTGTAAGTTTTATGTTTACGTGTTTACGCGTCTCCAAGGTAACCAGTCTATGGCCTACTTTGAAGTTATTTGTTTATGTAACTTTCATACAAAGTTTGATAAACAAATCAACATTTTCTATGTGTTGTCTATACGTGATTATCTACATTTGACGTGCAAAGTCCTATCAAATGTGCTGAATATGATAACACAATAAAGGCCTCTAATAAGTAAGAACCAGTTGTGAGTGCGGCCTCCATTTCGTGGGATCACCAGTCAGTCAGAAACAACAAGATTCTCTCACAAACAAACAAACAAACAAACAAACAAACAAACAAACAAACAAGCAAACAAACAAACAAACAGACAGACAGACAGACAGACAGACAAACAAACTCTGACTAGTGGTGTTTTTGAAATGTGAACGTTTTCAAACGTTATGAATGCGTTATCGTTGAAACATATAACTACATGCATTACAAACCTAGGTTCCTAGTACCTGAAACATATAACTACATGCATGGTCAAACCTTAGGTTACTAGTACCTGAAACATATAACTACATGCATGGTCAAACCTTGGTTTCTAGTACCTGAAACATATAACTACATGTATGGCCAAACCTAGGTTACTAGTACCTAAAACATATAACTACATGCATGGCCAAACCTAGGTTACTGGTACCTGAAACATTATATAACCACATGCATGGTCAAACCTAGGTTACTGGTACCTGAATACACCAACACGAAGCTGCACTAACTTGTAATGATCAAGCAGTGCCACAGCAATAGCCAGCCAAACAACGGCTTTCCAGAGGTTTTCATTACCCAAACCTGAGATCTACACTTTACAGGTATATGACCCAATTTAAGTAAGAGCCCTTTGGAGACTCTGACAGAAACTGGACACTAACACTAACACTTCAATTCCGCGGTTTACCGCTAGGCGGCTACATCCTTACGGTGGTCAAAGGTTAGACGTGTGATAGGTGAAAGGTCGGTCCGTCCGTGCAGGTAGAAACGTACCGCTACCCGAAAGGAGGTACCGCTAGCAGACAGACGGGTACCGCTACCAGGCGGAAGCGGAACAAGGTACCACTAGCAGACAGACGGGTACCGCTGCCAGGACGGGTACCAGGCGGGAAGCGGCCAGCATGTCCGGTGCGGAAGCGGTCAGCATGTCCGGTGCAGGCGGCCGTGTGTACGACCTGTGCGTGGTGGGGGCGGGGATGGTCGGCTCGGCCGCCGCTCGGCACGCGTCTGAGGACCCGGGCGTCCGGGTGTGTCTGGTCGGGCCCGGGGAGCCACAGGTACGGCACAGGTACAGGCAGGTTCAAGGCCAGGGCGAGGCGTGGTGGGGGCGGGGTTAGGGTAAGGGTTAGGGTAACCTGTGCGTGGTGGGGGCGGGGTAGGGTAAGGGTTAGGGTAACCTGTGCGTGGTGGGGGCGGGGTTAGGGTAAGGGTTAGGGTAACCTGTGCTTGGGGGCGGGGTTAGGGTAAGGGTTAGGGTAACCTGCAGCTGTGCGGGGTGGGGGCGGGCATGGTCGGCTCGGCTGCCGGGCGGGCGGGAATGGTGTCACTACAGACAGGACGGTCGAATCGGATTTTAGTTCAGAGAGTAAACAAGACATTCACAACAAGTCTTATAGCTAAATACTAGTACTTTACGGATCTTCATACATACATACATTTCATGTTTCCACCATGTTTACTACTTCCCCAACCCACACCCCACCCTCCTTCCCGCACAGGATCGACAAATGAACCGCACTATTTTTGGCGCGCATTACGACGAGGGCCGCATCACCCGTGCCCTCGACCCTGACCCCACCTGGGCACTACTTGCACAGAGATCCATCCGCAGATATCGTGACTTGGAGAGAAAAACCGGTAAGAAATACGACACAGCAAATTTACCATATACTGTACAAGTCCCGAACCAAGCATGGGGTCAATGGCCTGCATCAGCCGGCTGTCACCATGGTAACTGGCGCTGTAGCAGGCACCCTGTGGTGTTGGGTTACATTATGTAGCAAATAGCAGGACAGGATTGAAGAGACTGGTCACATATGAATATATTTGAGTGAGAATAAAGTAGTTTGTCAGGCTAGGCCATGTGAAGGTAAAAATTATGCATTTGATTTGCAAATGTTACCTTTCTAGTTTTAAATGTTTTACAGGTATCAAGTTCTTCCATGACGTCGGGTTTCTCGTGGTCGGCACTGCTGAAAGCGATTACGTCAGAGACGTGCTGAAGAACTCGCGATCTGATGACGTCACCCTCCGGACGCTTTCCCGCGCTCAGACCAGGGAGATGTTCCCTTATTTGGACATCGGGGAGGGGATGGTGGGGCTGCTCGATTCCCGGAACTGCGGACACGTCTCCCCCAGGCGGCTTGTGAGCGCACTGCAGACTGCAGCACACCTGCAGGTAAGGACACGTCTCCCCCAGGCGGCTTGTGAGCGCACTGCAGACTGCAGCACACCTGCAGGTTTCTCTTCTCTTCCAGTTGAAGTGACCGCTATCATCAAGTTGATCATTCTGTCACTTTTAGTTGAAGGAGGCGAGAGGTCACCAACCTAAGACTGATGTAGTTTGGAAGCCCTAGACACAAAGGTGTCAACGGATGTGGCTTCCACCGTTGTCTGAGGCAGAGCATTCCATTCTTTGACAGTACGTGGCAGAAATGAGGCCATACGGTACTGGGTCCTACCACCTGGCTGTACAAACTGTTGGCCGTGCACCCTTCTCTCACGTACTGGGGCAGGCTGTAGTTTACCCCTAAGACCATCTGTGCAGACGATATTATGCTGTATGCGGTATAGCATGGCAAGTCGGGCTGTCTTTCTTCGGGCCTGAAGACTGGGCCAGTTCAGGTCCTCTAGCATTTCTGTGGGACTTGACGTTTGCCTGTAACGTCTCATCACGAAACGTGCTGCTCTGCGCTGAACTGCCTCTAGCCTATCAATGTCTTGTTGGGAATGAGGGTCCCAGACTGTCGCCGCATATTCAAGTATGGGGCGTACATAGGTCTTGTAGGCCAATTCTTTAATGCGCCTGGAGCTGATCTTTAGGTTCCTCTTTAAAAAGCCCAAGGTCTTGTTGGCTTTGTTACAAAGGTTGTTAATGTGTTCTTTCCAGGTAAGGTCTTTTGTTATAGCTACACCCAAGTATTTAACACTGGGAACCGTCTTGAGGGTATGACACGTCTCCCCCAGGCGGCTTGTGAGCGCACTGCACACCTGCAGGTAAGGACAAAATCTCCCCCAGGCGGCTTGTGAGCGCACTGCAGACCTGCAGGTAAGGACACGTCTCCCCCAGGCGACTTGTGAGCGCACTGCAGACCTGAAGGTAAGGACACGTCTCCCCCAGGCGGCTTGTGGGCGCACTGCAGACCGCAGCACACCTGCAGGTAAGGACACGTCTCCCCCAGGCGGCTTGTGGGCGCACTGCAGACCGCAGCACACCTGCAGGCTAGGTAAGAACACGTCGTTCCAGGGGTGCGGCGTGGTTTTGCTACATTAGAAATCTGTTACATTCCAGGGGTGTAACGCTGTTCGTGACGTGTTTTGCTACATTAGAAGTGTGTTCTGTTCCAGGGTTGTGACGTGTTTTGCTACATTAGAAGTGTGTTCTGTTCCAGGGTTGTGACGTGTTTTGCTACATCAGAAGTGTGTTCTGTTCCGGATCCAGGGTTGTGACGTGTTTTGCTACATTAGAAGTGTGTTCTGTTCCAGGGGTGTGACGTGGTTGATGACGTGGTCTCCTCGATAGAAGCCCCTGCCGGCTGGGCGAGACGCGCAGGCGCCAACCTGGGGGTGCGGACCGAGACGGGGGCCGTTATACACGCCCGGCGGGTGCTGCTGGCCACGGGAGCCTTCACCACGTTCCGCCGCCTGCTGCCGCCGGGGCTCCGGCCGGACGTCAGGCTCACGGCTCAGACAGTCGCACTGGTACGTCCCTATCCTAACCCACCGGACAGACAGTCGCACTAGACAGTCGCACTCGGTACGTCCCTATCCTAACCCACCGGACAGACAGTCGCACTGGTACGTCCCTATCCTAACCCTTCCACCGGACAGACAGTCGCACTGGTACGTCCCTATCCTAACCCACCGGACAGACAGTCGCACTGGTACGTCCCTATCCTA